CATATACATAAAGAATTTGATTGGTCCATTGACTCATGTATAAGAAAATGGGCCAATGAAATTCCTTATGTATATGTATTATGCGTTATGCAAAAGTCTGTGCTCCCCGCTTTACTTTAAACAGAAGGAGATGTAAAATAGTACTTGTTATAATACATATATGGCAGAAATTATACGTTAATATGTATAATTTCTGAGAAATGGTACGTTAATTTTGAAACTTTTTTTGTTAATAACTTTTTAACGGACAGTGACCGCCACCTAAAACCTGCGGGAGGTTACTCAGGGTCATGACCTTGACAACATATGTCAAGGTCAAGATCATCGGGGGTGGCTCCCCTAATCTATATATTTATGTACCTTTACTTCTGACTCTTACTTCGCCCTTTTAATTTATGTTGAATATTGTTATATTAAGAGTCCTTGAATATTTTCATCTTAAAAGTTTATTTATAATAAAGTTTATATTTATGTATTTCATTTTACTTGAAATGAATTGTACATGGTGTCTCTTTTTAACATGGACAAATAGATGGACTAAACCGAATCGAAGTCCCCTACCATTTTACAATTAAGAAAATATTAATTTCTAAAAATTGCTGAATAAGCAAGTAAAATCGACACATAAGATAATTTCAAGATATTTTTCAAAGTTTTTTTATGAAATATCTTAAAAATGTTTCACTTTTCAAAGATATCTTAAAGTTGTTTATATCGATTTTAGACAGTCTACTTATTATTAAGTAATTTAAAAAATTGTAAAAATTGCAAAATAAAAAACTTTTCCACGCAATTTAGTCCGGTTTATCTACAAGTGGTGTGTCCACAAGCGGTGTGTCAAAAAGTTTAGAACACCTTGTATACGTATTATGGAAAAAGATACAGTGCTAAATCATATTTTATAACAAGTGTATTAATGACGTTTATGTACAATGTTTACACGGCGATACAGAAAACATGTCCGCATATTTACGAAGGTGTTACATATGATACAACAAATATTATTTAGAAGTCATTTATACTATTAATACGGCAGTTATATTGAAGACGTACATATATATCAAAAGTAATTAAACAAACATGTTAATATTATGAAACATACATAGACATTGTGACAGAAAACAGCAAATTCCTTATTTCCCGTGGAAATATGTACAGCGGTGCATTAAAGATTTCTCAGAAATAAACGTGCTAATATAAAAATTATTTTGCGAGTATATATAAATTAAAAATATAACTCTCCACAATATAATTCTCCACAAATCTGCATTGCACATCGTAGTAATATAAAAATTGATCAAATCAATTTTTATCATTATCTATCAATGTACCGTGCAAGAAATTAAGAGAAAAAGAGCAGGAGAAATATTTTAGTCATTAACATAACATATTTTTCATTTACGCATCGTATCGACGTGCAATAAAAATTCGCACAGTGAAAAAGACTTAATCTAACTAAAAGTTTTACATAGTATTTTTCCGTATTTCTTACGAGATAGTCAGATTTATTAATAATTGTCATGGCTGTTGGCACGTTTTACTCTAATTAATGCTTCTTAAGTCGAATCGTATTAGTTTCAATAAAATATACTTTACACCAATTTTAATTAAATATAAATTTTAGTAGTACTATCATTCGCATCCTCGTTGTTGAATAACAACGTGCCTCGCAGATCTAGATATAAATACAATGAGTTAAATTCTAATTAATTGAAATATTATTTATCTTATTAGAATTCTCACAAACTACCGAGTACGTACAAATATATAAAATACACGTAAAAGTACAGAATGAAAACTGGCCGCCGGTAAAATGAGGATTAGATTTAATTACACTAAACCATTAAATTAATGCGCATCAAGACGCCTATTTTAAGAATCAATGAAATTATCTCAATATATTATTATCTTGAAATATTGTTCTTGAATTGCGACATTAATCAATTATCTCTTCGTTATGAAAGTTTTCGAAAGTATATTGGGGCTTGATTCTTAAAAAGTACCGTATACGAAAAATCAGAAAAATCTATAACATATGTATATTACAGTAACGTATTTTCGTGCATTTTCGTATATGCGAAATTTTTCAAGAATCCAGGCCTTGTTCGTTAACAATCGGTTTGTAAGATCGTAACTTCAAATTAGGCAAATAATTTAATGAAATTTGACAAATCATACCTAAGTTTAATAAGCAAAATTTTTCTATCAAAGTAATTGATAATAAATAGGAAAAAAATATTTAAAATATACGCTAAGAAAAATATTTGTAAATAAAGCACCAAGGAGTATAAATTGATTGATCGACGTTAAACGCGCCATTCACAAAACGGCGCGTTCTACGTCCGCGATAATGTCTAATAAATTATCATTACGTAATTGTCATCAGAAAAATCGATGATATTGTTGGTAACGTTTTCACTGCATCCGACGATTAGTAATACTCTTCAGACGCACATTCCTACATCTTGTACATAATCTCACATTCGCACGCGGATTCTCCTTGTCAGTCGCAACATAATTATTGTCATTAGAACACGAATCGACACTTTCACGTTTCAAAGTCCAACTCTTGGTCCCTTGGTTGGCGTTGTTTGCTCTTCGTTTTCTTCGTTTTCGTCGCCGCGATTTTCTTCTTCTTCGGCTTCGGCATGATTTCGCAGCTGCACCCACTTCGTACTCTGATGTAGTCCAACGTCCATTCGGATCCGATCACGGTGTTACCGGAAAACGCGGGAAAATGATGGCGTTCCCTGTGGTGGTGCCTTCTGTGCTCCTCCGTTCCAATCTGAACAAAAATTAATACAATATTTTTCTCATATCCTTCGATAACTTTATTTTGAAAATTAAATGATTCTTACTTTAACATATATTGTATACTACTTTAACATCTTTAGGAAGTATTTAATATAAGGTTGCGCGTATTTAAACAAATTGTATAATTAATAAGTAATCGGTAACAAATAGAAAAAATATTATAATTAATTACTTGATGCACCTTTAGTTTAGTTGATCAAAGAAAAAATGTACAGAACACGCTAATGACCCATCGTGTGTAGTAAAAGATTGAAAAATTATCCATCGTATATATATTAAGGATTAGAATAACATTTCTTTTTTAAAGGAAATTATATCTTTTAATTCTATTTTTCACGATTATTAATTTATCTAGAAAAACTATGTGTAATGTTAGAAAATGTTTGAATCTATATAATCGTATATTAAAGGGTAATGATGAAATTATGAGAAAATATTGACGTTGAATGGGTACCTTCGATCCAGGACTCTTGATAATAGCGTACGTATACGAGTGCTTTTGTACGCATATGGACCGGTTGCTGAACTTCCGATCGACGAATCTACACGGCTTGCCGACGACGTCTAGCCTACAGGAGTACTCGAAGAATCTCTGGACGTTCTCGCCGTCCCTGTAAAGCTCGACGTACATGTCTTCTCGAGTTCGACCGCCAAACGGTTCTACCATTTCCTCTATCGTAGGACAGCAGTCGACCGGGCGGCCGTCCTCGCCTTCTTGACGCAGGATCATCTGCATCTCCCGGTATGTCATCCGCTTGTTCGTCGACTCCTCTAGTGGTTCTGCCCTGCGAATTGCAACGAATTATTTCTCCTGTTTAATCAATTCTTATTTTTAATCAACATCATTTCCTAATCAAATTGTATTTTCACTCGACCAATGTTCTTCGAAAGTGCAGGCAGATGTTATTTACGAAACTTTCGGATTAAATTCTAATCGTCGTCTAATCGCGCTACAATCGTCGTGTTAACAGAAGACTTAATGGGAAATATATGTAAAAAAAATAATAAAAGCACGTTTCGGCTACGCCGCAGTATACCCTGTTGAATTTAAATCGAATTCTTACCACCGAAGGAAACGCCGATATTATTCCTCCCATGCCAAACGCGCTAATAGCTCGTATCTAAATTACGCGATAGAATGTTGTAGCGGTTTAAAAAAAATTTCGTGGAACATGATATTTTACTTCGTTTCGTATACATTATTAACATTTTATGCACACCAGCAATAATAATTAAGATAGCGAATTTCGTGCGATTGATAAAATAAATATCCAAATGTAACGCGCGCACACCATGTTTCAATAAATCATTTGCAAATATGGTTAAATGAACCATGAATATCGAAAACAATATAATATACAAATGAATAAGTGTACATGTTAATATGTATAAGGCTATAAATTTAAACTGTTAAATAAGATTTAAATTTAATTTATTTTAATTTAATATTAAATCGAGCAAATTCGATAATAATATTTTCTTGTTTTATTTTTCCGTCCGAAAATTTTTACTCACCAGCGAGAAATATGTCCTCTGAAAGGCTCTTCCCTGGGCCTTCGAGAGGAGGAGGATAAAGTCAGATTGTTGGCGGCAGTAAGCCGTGGGCACAGGACTGCGGTCAGCCAAACCACCTGCAACGAAAATCATGCGAATGTTCAAATTATTTCGCATGTCTAACAAAATTTTTTATCAAATTTATACAAATTGAAAACATAAAAAGTAATATCTATCGAAAAAAACCAGTTTTACTAAACTATATCTAAACATTTAGTTAGATATAGATTTAAAAATAATTTGAACAATCAAAATAATTATGTAGAACGCACTTAAACTGATTGCTAGAATATTAAAACTTTTTGCAGCCTTGTTATTAATATTTAAACATTCTATTATACATAATTATTTTGATGGTTCGACAAAATTACTTTTAAACCTGAATCTATATTTGAATTTTTTGATACTTCCGAATTGTGCTATAGGAAACTTTTGTCGTTGTAATTACGGATTGAATGCCAATTTAATACAAAGAATTATTACATTTTTATAAAACATTGTAAAAATTTACACATATATATATTTGCGTTTGAATAAATACATATATTTCTATCGCAACAGATACTGCATGTCTTAGTTCTACGAGCGCGCTATTTTGACGCGGCGCGATGTAAACAATTCTGTCATATCTGATAGAGAACAGAGACTAATGTGTGTAAGACTTTACAATAAATTTCGCGAGGTGTCAAATTAGAACCAATAATAATATTGCGGTGAAGGATCGCGCGTGAGAAAATACCGGACAGGAGATTGGTATACGAACGTGCAATAAAGCACGGCGTTAGTCACGCATCGTCCGAATCCGCGGCACACATGAGCCGGTGAGCGAGCGCGGTATACATATGTGTAAGCTTACGTGAAGGTGAAAACATTAATTCGGCTTATAATTTTTATGCAAAACAGGCCTCACGGCGCCGCCGCCGCGCCGCCGCGCCGCCGCCGTTTGCTGCTTGTTAATACGAGCGTGCCTCTTTCTCGCAGTACACCACACTTTCGATTTAATTGCGCCGTATAACTCGTCACCACACACAAAACATGCGGAACCTGCTTGCTTCATTCACCGAAATAAACCTAAACCTCTTTTTTTCCAAAATATTCTTGAAATACGCATAAGATGTAATATTTATGATTGTTTATATTACTCTCACGAAAAAAAGGGGTATTCATAAAGAAATACGAAACGATCCAAAAGGAGGTACAAATATATATTCTGTGGTTAAATTTCAGAGAAAAAGAGTATCGTGTTATCAGATTCTAATTTATAATAATAGAGAGAGAGAGAGAGAGAGAGAGAGAGAGAGAGAGAGTTGCATTATTATACTTATCTTTCATAATTACGCAACGCTATATCGAAGGGTCAAACGACAGCTTCTCGGTGAAGCCTATGTGAACAAGACGACGCGATATAGCCGACATCGCCGACGTTTAATTAAGCCATCGTTCCTCCGGGTGAACAGTTAACTAAGCGGCGGCGCCTCCTATACGAGGAACTCGTATTGGGCAGAAGACCGCACGTTGGGATTAAACGGATATTCACACACGCGAGACCACACATCGCGCTCTTTACGATCCTTATCGGATTCTTGCATCAGCCGAACGGGGAAGAAATTCTCTCACTAGCAATGCGATTTTAATCGTATAGAGATATAGTCGGTGGCAGACATTGCGGCATAACTTAATGACACTTAGCGTTAATTATGCGCTAAATCGAAATATTAAACGATTATTGTCCCATATTGCGATCAAATTGCGCGATCGTGTGTGCGAGCGCCAATGCAGAGAGTCCAGTTATTAATATTGTATTAAGATTGGATAAATAACTGGCACGTGTAATAAACTGTACACTCTCTAACATCGATGGAAATTATCTCTTACACACGAACGCGAGATTTCACGTCGACGCTTCCAAAGAAACGTTAAGTTAAGCCTCGCGGTTGCGCCTGGGCCAAGAAAACGTCAATTAGCGCCCGCGAATTCTTCTCTCCCTTCTCTTTCGCGATAATGAAACAGCTGGGACCGTGCCCGAGTGCGAGAGGCACTTTCGCGAAAGTCGAAATTAGTCGATCGTTCCCTGGGTCTCGAAAGAGATAATCCTAGATATATTTCGGCGAGCCGAGCACGCTTTCGTAATCTCGTCCGCTCCAATCATCGTTCATTTTAGTAATTTTTAACTAATGACAGTCTGACACTTCATCACTACCTGCCCCGATCATTATCAATCCTTCGTGGATAAAGATTTATCGCTGCGACTGTCCGCGCCGTACAAGAGCCACGTAAGCTACGGGCACTTGGATTGCAGACTCGTTTACGAGTATTGTATCATGCGTATACAGAAGATTCGTATATTAATCGTCAGACGAAAGTACGGTTTTAATATTATATAATTGTATCATAAACTGCCACGTGACGGTAAAATTAAGTGAGTATGACGTTTTTATGACTTCTTTATATTCTGCTAATCTTTCACTTTTATTTAAATGTGTAATTTGTATACATTTTAATTTTTCCTTTTTTGTGTGTTTTAAATTGGCCAGATGTATACTTCTTCTTATATGTATAAACATAGGGTTGTTACAAAACTGGAAATTAGAGAAATCAGGGAATTGCCAGAGAAATTGAAAAAGTCAAGGAAACATCAGGGAATTTTGCAAAATTTTCTGTAAAAAATAAAAATTCTTGATTTTAAAAAAGTTTAATATATACATCACACCTATATACACACAGTTTTGGAATACTATCAACTTAACAATTAAAAATGCAAGCAGTATCAGCAATATTAATAGTTAATTGATTATAATTTTATAACTCACAGCGTTTATTAAATCAAGGCTTTTGTTTTATTATCACAATTCCAATATCCACGTAATTTTATAATTTTAATGTGTTTCTTCATAAAGTTGATTGCATTTCTTGGTTGCAGTGTGGTCTTATAGTTTCTGAACTATTAGACGGTAATTCATGTACAGACATGGTAATCGGAATACGATGTGACTGCTTCCAAGGATATGGGACAGTTATTTGACATTCACATTTATATAACATTGTAATTTGCGCTGAAGATGACTCGAATTGAGTTGAAACATTCGAATTACGTAAGATATTCAATGAATATTATAAATATGTTATAATTTATAAAAACAATTTTTAACTTGCGGATTTTACTCTCACTTGCCCGTGTTTGTTATGTAATTAGATTAATTTTTAATAGTAATTTATATTCACCTGGAAAAAAAGATTACTGTATCTTAATAAATATTTTTTTTAATATTTAGAAGTGAACATTTATTGAATTATTAAATTTTTAACATATAATATAATATTTATTTGGTACAATAAACATTGATTTAACTATCATTTTTTTATAGATTAAATATTTATTTATTATAAACAAATGTTTACATACAAATATTAAAAAAAAAATTTATTATGATATGGTAAACATTTTTTCAGTGTTATTATGTTAAATTAATTTCTCAATAATATATTTAATATTTTTCAAAAATCAGGACAAAAATACAAAAAAATCTTTAAACATTATTAAACCTACTATATATTCTATAATATGCTTTTTATTTCTCGTTTCTTGTTTCTTTTTACTATTTTTTATATCTTGTCTTTTTGCCTCTTATCCTGTTTTTCATTTTCTGTCTCTCAAGATAAAAGTTAATGAACTTCGAAAGAAACAAAAAAAAAATACATAGCAAGAAATACAATTATTGATAAAACGATCACAAAAAGGAAAAAAACAAAAGCAAGAAACATTGTAGAATAGCCATTAAAAGTCAGGTAAAATTTTATCTAGAAGTCAAGAAAAAGTTATAGAATTTTAGAATAAAGAATTTATGACAACTAATATTTATTTATTATTTTATATCTCAATTAGTAACAATTATTAATAAAAAAAAAGTTCTTCCTCGCTATTTATATGATCTTTAAAATATCTAATAGATACATTTCCAAAAAAAGCTAATCTTATAATTGATAGAGATGCGTTACATCACGCGTATCAGTATAATTAATTACAACCGTATTAATTATATTGATACTATACTAATAATACTAATTATACTAATGACAGCAATGACATCTAATTCCAAAAGTTACTTAAAACTTATACGAAGCGATAAAGTAACATTTACTTTTTCCTTCCCTTATCCCGGTTATCTTCTCTGTCACGATGTATCTTACGGAGGAGGAAATACTGTCCCTGCCACGTGGAAGCAGCGGAAAATAATTTGTGACGCAATTAGAGTCCCATAACGCATTGGCGATGACGCTACATCGGCGATCGGGGACCCACCGGAGACTAGTTCTCCGTATCTCATGCCTCCTGGAATGCACTCGAGGCCCCGCGATACACCTATATCTATCCTGGGTATACCGATAAAGTTCGAAGAACCCCGAGAAGACCGGTATCATGGGGACGCTTATCGGCTGACGTGTTTATGTCTCCACGCGCGCCACGTGGGTCGTGTTTGTGTTCGTTCTGGATCCTATTCTTTCTTCTTATCACAAGTCATGAATTCGAAAAATCAATGACGATCGATCTTTTGTATGCATGCAAACTCATCGGTGGTTATCACTAAGAGATTAGTGCGTCATACCGAAATATGTTAGGAGTCTTTGACCTAACTTTCATTTGCTGGTTAACTTGTGGTTATAGCCTTGAGATGATATAATGTAAAAATTAAATTTTTTCATCCATAATTAATCATAAAAAAAAACTTTTAAAGTTATTACTACAAAACCATTAATTTAGTGATTAATTATAGCTAGAGAATTACAATTTTTATATTATTATCAAGTTAACTGAGATTAAATCTAAATCATATAAGATTCTCTTGGAAAAGAAAAATGCGTCGAAAGATTTTACAAGATTTTGGCCACAATTTGGCCGCATTTAGCAGAATGTTTATTATACAACTATTGAAAGCTTTTTCGTTGAGATAAAATTATTTTTCCAAATCTACAAAAAAAAAAACAGTTTGTTGAAGTATCTAAAAATTTAGCTGGATTTTTATATGGATATAGGTTTAATAATAATTTTATAGAACATTGAAACTGATTATTAGAATGT